GCTCGTCCAACGAATGTACGCCACCGCCCTCCCTCCCCCATGTATTTGCATTCAATTCCAATCTATGTAATTACCGACAACCGGCTTAATCCATTCATTTCTTTCACCTCTTATCAGACGTCCATGGGAGAATGTCCCATCGTCATGTTATCGTTGATCAGCGTCTCAGAAACCGCAATTTAATCCTTTTCAAGTCTTCTCAGCCTTATATATCCATTTGCCATTTGTTTAAATGAAGTGTTTCTCTAAAAATTAGTACTTTTATAGTCTTTTTTGCTGAATATGCATTAATGTGCTTTTGTTTTAACCGACAGTACCACACTTCTGTATTCTAACCGCAAGTTTGTGAACTTCAATTTCAAAAGATTTACTTTTATTTATTTTATTTATAAAAATTATTTGTCACATTGATATTCATGTTAGTTATGCTAAAGATAGCTATAAAATGTCTACTTATTTTGATCTGTAGCTGATTGCTACACAAACACGCCTTGGCTTTCCCTCGGTAATGTCTATGAGAAGCTCCCCTTAGCAGTATGGGGAAACAGCAGATGTACGGCTAGAACCCGTTTATTTGCTTGTCTGTTTGTCATTAAAATGCAATGAAAGGTTTGCTAAACAATGCGGGGTCTATTGATTGGTGGCTGGCTGAGAGAACTCTGATCTCACGACGCACTTGGTCCTAATGTGACAAGTAGCACGGCCGCACTTTCGAGTCTGTCTGAACGTTCATGAGATTTCTTCGTTCAGCCATAACAGCATGTGCACTCAGCGAATCAAACACTTGATTAAAATCGCCACGCTTTTACTCCGGTTATTTTAATTGTGTGCTTATCGTTGTGAGGTCACTTTTCAACTTAGTTTTAACGAATTTTTGTTCCTTATTTCCATTTGTTGCTAAAAGTGGATTGATTTTAAACACAGTACATCAAGGTTTTAAAGCTTCCTGAAATTGAGCTTTCGAAGACCCTACTGATCTCTTCGGTACAAACATTCGTATGGAGCTTCCAGATCTCCGCTTCACCATCTATGTTCGAATTCCGATGATGTAGAGATCCTTGTGGCATTACACATATATCAATTGTTACTGTTTTTGGACAATAAACGGATAGACCGCACATATCCTTGACTTACTTGGCGTTTTAATTGATTTGCACGAATTTTCTACGTCTAGTAGAAGAATTTGTGAGAATTGTCCACGAGATTTCAGTGATTTCTTTCGCCTTCGTTTGAAATTTTATTTTAAACTGGCGTGGATGTAGTTTATAATTTTGAATTCAGTATTAACCCCCTCCCTCCTCTAATCCGTCAGTAATTTCACGTATTTCAAACTCAGAGGCTTATGTTTTATTGATACCATCTCAAACTGTCAATTACTTGTCATTTAATGAAGGGGCTAATTTGTGTTATAGATTTTCTTTAATGAAGTGGATGTGTTCATTTAAATACAAGCGCTTTTTTTAGGTGGAATGGCTTGATAGTGCTTGGTCGTTAGCACTAATAGTAATTATTTAATTAATTAATAGTAATTCCGCTTTTGGAGATCAAAATTGCAAGTTGCAGTTTTACTCTGTTTTTTTTGATCGTTTTCTTAAGCTACTTAACTAACTCTTGCGTGTGGGTTCACCCTCTAGAACCAAATCATATGCTGTCTCTTTCCCTCTACCTTTTTTTCGATAATATTCGATAAAAAGATCAATAAAATAACAAAGTCCTACGTTTTGCAACACAGTGCCTCCTTAACTGAGTCCTTTTTGTGGTTAAATTAAGCTTGGTGTGTCGAGAGCCATAGGATCCAAAATTCGAACATCTTTCCCTTGTTTTTATGTCCTAATCACCATTACTGAAGCCAAAGTCCTTTTAGCGTGAGAATCATTTTAATTTCTCCCAACCTCTGGAAGATTTATCGGTGTTAGGCCCCACGTAAATGACAGTTTGATTTCACTTCAATCTTGGATATCTTATTTGCATTTGTTTGATTGATGTGCTGAATGTTGATAATCATCAATCTAATTCAAGGTTCTCCAAACTCTAAGGGATGTTAATGGAAAGAAATGCTAATTTTAAATTTAGTAGAAAGTTAATGATGGCTATTTTCCCGTGAATTAAGTATGGTTTCATCCTTTCTTAATTTGCCGGTTGATATATATCTACAAATCATTTACAATTTGTTTACTTTAGACAAAAGGTATTACGTATTGTTAAACCGTGTAATTGATTCAAAGAAGTTCCAAATAGATTTGTTGTCTCCTAATTCGCTCATTTCTTCGTTTGAAGGCCTCATAGCCTTGCCAAATCTATATCTGTATGGTCGTATAGCATATCCTCTTTCGAGAATAGAGTTGGTATCTTTCAAATTCTTACACAGCGAATGGTATAATTTATTTTTGAAAGCTATATTTCTGCAAACGTGTTCTCCTAACTTCTTTAAACATCCTTGAATTTGACATTTTTATATGAAAATAGATATAAAAAGAGTGTTTGCAAACTCAATTTCTTCCCTTCAGGCTAGTATTATTATTTTCAAATGGCAGGCGTTTTGATTGTTATCGTTAGCCCTCTAGCTGACTTCGGGCTTCACAGAGGGGGTGGGGAAGGAACACCAAAGTGAAAAAAGGTCGAGAGGGGGGGGACAGAATAATGATTCACAGATGTAAAAGAGCCAGACACAAAGGCAGAGAAAAAGCTAAGGTGAGTACTGTGGAAGCGGTGGAATATGACATTCAGTGGGGTCATGGTAGTTTGAAGTCCGAAGTAAACTGCCGATTGATTGAATTTTTTATCGTATGAGTATAGGTTGCTCAGGGTGCATCAAGTGGAGGTAAGTCAATCGCACACCCCATCCTTCGGGCTAGTTATATCCAACAAGAGGGTGTTCAGGTGATAGGACTCACGAGCCTGAGAGTGGAAGTCAGTACTAACATTAATACTCACCTATTGATGATCATCTCGTTTGACATTTCACATTTTCAATAGCTTCTCCATGCTTAATGAAGTTTTTTTTACTTAGCAAGCAGAATGGCTGATGACAATACGAAGTTGAGTCCACCCATACGCATTCGTAAAAAGCGAAGTGTCCAATTCCTTGTCGATTGTCATCTTCACGATGGTGAGTGTTCCGGCGCTTTGAACGTCGCAGAATTGTCGGGCTACTCCTCTTCCCATGAAGGCGACAATATATCAATTCGCAGTGCCGGATCTGCCAACAGAATATCAACCACATATCCCGTTCGATCAGCAAGTCCACGGCCATGTTCCTCAGTAGGCTGTCCAGATTCTGGAGATGAATGCGAGGATGGAAGTCCAATCACAATCTCCAGACCTGAGGATGCTCCTGAAGATCTTGCTGTCTTCGATATTGGCCTTGGAATGCTCAGACAGCATACCATCTATAAAGTCCAATTTCTTGTTCCTGCTGCCGGTCGATTGAACTCAGAAGATGTTGAGTTGGTTAGATCAAATGTTGTCGTTCGGGGGGATGGGAAACAATTCCAAATTTCATCTGACATTGATGTCATTAATATTGAGTACATGAAGAATGATAGCTGTAAGTTCAGGTTTTTATAATATCCCCCCCCTAGCCAAATGACCTTGCGTATATTGTAAAATAAGTCTAGTTTCTGACGCTATATTTTATCTGATCACTAAATTTAGCTTGGACATATTTGATTCCTTCTCGAAGGGATGAGCTCGAAAGGTAGAGAAGTGAATTTACCCCTCTAACATTTTATTAACTAAACAAGGATTATATGTAAATGCGTACAAGTCGTCTCCTTTATGTTGTTGGTGCTTGGAGAGTAAAACAAATAAATACTCAGTTTTATTCGACTCTTATAAGCCGTTTTACCTTCGCACGATAGTGAGTATTGCTCACCTTAACCTGGCTATAGAGCTCTCCTGCTTAAAGACACCATTCTATTACTTTTGAACATTTTATCACTTTTCCATTTTTTTCTTATTTTGGAGATTTATGGACTTGATTTTTGGTGATGGTGGTGGTGACTCAGACTTTTTCAGAAACTCTTCTGGCACTTTGGGGATGGTTTACTTATTTATTTATATCAAATAGCAGGCGTTTTGATGGCTATCATTATCCCTTTAGCTGACTCCGGGCTTCACAGAGGGGAGGAACGTCAAAGTGAGAAAAAGTGGGGAAGGGGGGGGGGACGGAACAGAATAATGATTCACAGATGTAAAAGAGATAGGTAGACAGACACTTAGGCAGAGGAAAGGTAAGATGAGTACCGTGAAGGGGTCGAATATGACATACAGTGGGGGTGATGGTTGTATGAAGTGAGAAGTCAACTGCCGTTTAATAGATCTATTTGTCGTATGAGAATACGTTGCCCAGGGTGCACCACGAGGAGGTAAAACTAGCATACAATGCGGTGTTTTGCCAGGGAGGAATTATTCAAGACCAATCCTGTTGAGGTGTCTATAATAACTTGTTTTAATAGAATCAAATTGGAAAATTACCTTCTATTGCATAGGATATCGGATTATTATTTATGTCGGCTTTTGTTATTACA